CCACAGCGCTGGGCAGAGGTCAGTGTGGACTTCACCCGCAGAAAGAAGGTCATCTTGTACCCTGGACATCACGACTTTATCTACTTCGATATCGCCAGGGACAAAACCTACAAACAGACTAATCACGACTGCTGGTATGTCAACTGGTATTTAAAAATAATAAAATTATATTATATATACACAATATATAATATATATTATCATCATCATCATCATCATCATCAAGTGTGCAACTTGCACACGGGACCTCCGAATTTCTTTCGCCCTTGTCCGAGAAGGCTAGGTGTAGATCATACCTACCATAAGATCAGGGGTGTGGCCGAAAGACAGCAGTAAGAAGGAGCCAATGAATAGCAGTAGAAAGGCTGCAGAAAGAGCCAGGAGCCCAGAGGAGGTGGCAAAGGAGGCGAGGGGATGGGGGCTGAAAATGGAGACGAAAGCAGAGAACAGAACATTGCTAGAGAGAAGGAGCTCTTTTTCCTCTTTCATACGTCTACATACCAATAATTATAATAATATCAGGCTATAGCAATACTATAGTCTTGCTCTTTTTTCTCTCTCATACGTCTACATACCAATATACTTAGAGAGAAATCAAATCTTTTGATTCATTCAAATGTCAGCTGAAGTTGTTTCTGTTTTTAAATTAATAAGATGAATATATTTGGAATAGTTTTCTTTAGTGAGAACACAACGTTTTATGTTACCGTTGTACGTTGTACCTACTGTATTGTAAAGTCTGTGTACTTTAATCGGGGTTGAGCGCTATATGTAAGTGTCATTTATTATTATTAATATATCAGGCTATAGCAAGCTATATTCCTGCTGTTTTCCCTCTCTCATCAAAGGATCTCAGAAACAGACGCCATGGATGAGGTGTTCCAGTGTATCCCCGAAGACGCCGAGATCACCTTTGGGGACTCCTCGTTTTTCCGGAATCTGATGCCCATCTCCACGTGGACGTTTACTGTACGTAACGTTGTATTGTCGAGTATGCTTTACGCCTCAATCAACACAAGTTAGATCAGTGTACTCCCACCCTGCACGTCAGGGCCAATCCAGACAGAGAGGGATGCAACATCCTGGCAGACAGACGGAAATACTTGGTGAATTGAAAAAAAAACAACCCAAACCAATCGTACCCCAATCCCCCCCCCCCT